GGAAAGAAATAGTTTTCTGCATGAGCACACAAGTGAACTGATCACATGCACTCCCAAATTTAATCATGAATCAAAAAACTAGGCGCTGAAACAACTCAAGATTCAGTCTTTTGGTAACAAAATCAAATTCCTCTCAAAATACAATGGTTTTAAATACTGGCAATTGTGACAGTTTTTTCTGTCTAAATACTTTATTGAGTTGCAAGCATTTTCAGGAAGCGAACTTTAATCCTTTCTCTCTAAGGGAATTAAGCTCAGGGGCTTTGACCAACAACCTTTTTTGGTATTGCCTGCTTGGTTTGGCTTTTCAGAAGCGGAAGGGAAGGTGCTACTGTAGCAGAGGTATGCTTGTGTTTGGAATTTTATTGGTTTCCTCTATGGAAACTATTTTAGTACCTTGGAAATGGTCCTTCCAGGAGATAGCTATGTATCCAGATTATCCAGAGTATTGCTCTGGATCCCATTATGGACCATCCACCTAAAAGTGGAGCATTGCTGCTCCTTGAATCTTGTCCTTAGCTGTGCGTAGTGATTGTGGAGACCAAGGCTGAATACAGCTAATTAAGAAATGCCATTCTAATTACCATATTGCTGTCTCCCTGGATTATAGTTTCATTTATATGGTGAGACTTGGCTGGAGCTGTCTTTACCTTATGAATAAAACTTTGATGTAGTTTAAAATTTTGTGCAAGAAATTGCCCAAGGGAGAACTTCCTGTGGAGCTAAAGGAGATAATACGTTGTTCCTTCCTCACATAATTGAAGAGCAGCATGACTGCACCTGGCTTTCTCTAAACCCAGTCCTATTGGGACTGCGTTCCGCCCACACCAAGCGGAGGACTGCACATACAAGGAAAACGCCGTGTTTCCTGAGCACCAACCCTACGGTGTTGAGGGAAGAGGGCTTGCACTGTTCTGCTACAAGAGGGAGAGGGTATTCACATAATCTGCCTCAAGCTATTTTAGGCATTTTTGTGATTCTGAACACGATGCTAAAATGGTTCATGCTAGCGTGAAGGCCTTGCCATAAGAATTTTTTCCACCAGTCTGGCTGTAGAATCAGAGATGCAAGAGGATTAGCGGTGGGAAAGCAACTGATTAGCTCTGATTGTGGCTTCTTTGGGTTTTTTGCTTTGTTTTTGGCCTTATAGACTACTAAATTATTAAATATAGGAAAAAAATACTTTTTTT